GTTTTTGCTGTATTTTTTCTTTTGTTTTTTGGTTTTTCTTTTGGAAGAAAATGAAGATCTAAGAGAGGTTGTTGAACTGTAGGACTTCGGATTTGAATATTTGAATCTAAAATTCAAATTTCAAATCTTAGACTTGCAGAAAATGTATATTTGGGGGGAAATTTGGAGCTGGAAGGTTTTTTTTTTTGAAAATGTTCAGGGATCCAAAACTTGTAAAAGAAGGCATTAGAGGTGCCTTTTATAGGCAAGGAGTGGGGCAGAATGTTCTAGAAGCATTTTCCTATTTTCCCCCTTTTTATTTCAGAAATTAGCTATTAGACCCTGATTTTATGACTTGTTACCCAAGTTACTGCATTAAAATGCAGAAAACTTACACTTAGGCCCCCTTCTAGAAGGCCCTAGGGTATTCTTTTAGCTATGAAATTCCTATGCTACCCTTGTTTGGGTCTTGAAATTACTATCCTTAACAAACTGGGCCATTTTCAATGCCCAAAATACCCTTGAAGTCCCCCTGAAACTACAAACCTAACCAACCCTTTTACCTTAATTAAGGTTTTAACCATAGTTAGACCTAATGAGCCCAAATCAGCTATAACCAATCCATAAAGCTAAAATTAACTCTAATTAATATGCAATTTTGAACTAATAGGCAATGAATTATTGAAATCCCAGTAAACTATCATTCAATAACCTATGAATAACTATAAAACAATCAAAAATTCAGCAGGTGATGACTAATTTAAAAACTACTATCAGTAAGTATAGAAGAAGAATCCAAAACAAAAATTCAAACAATAAAAATCAGTACTAGTTACTGCTAAAAGAAAGAAGAATAGAGCATAATGAAGACGAACAAATTATTGAAGCAATGAACAAAACAACAGAAAATTAAACTATAAAAATCTAAACTAACAGAAACAAAACCACAATTAAACAAGATTAAACTAAAAAAAAAGACAGTGTTTTCTAAAAAATCTACTGGTTTTCAAAGAAGTAAACAGGGACTTACCGAATTTAATCTTCATGTGGGTTAAGCTTGAATTGAACCCTCAAATAATATTATATGTTTGTTTTTGGTAAAAACAAACATATAACATTATTTGGAATTCAAGTCGATACTTGATAGGCCTTTCTTTTAACAAAAATCCAAAAAGTATTTCCGAACCCTAGATCTAAAATTCGTGAGGTTTTATTGAGATTTGAAGGGTTTTGGTTTGAGAATGGGGAAGAGGAGAGTTGGTAGAGTATAGGGTGTGAGTTTGGTTGAATTTGGGTGAGTTTGTATTTTAGCCGGATTTTAGATGTAAAATTCGAGAAAATCGGTGAGGATTTGAGGGAAATAGATTTGAGGGTTGGAAAGAAGAGGAGAAGGAGAGTACATGGTGAAATTTTGGGGTCCATCGGAGAATCGCCGGCGGCGGACGGCGGAGGAATGGTGGGGATACGGTGGCTATACACCGGCGTTACAGGGAGAGTGACTGTACGAGGAAGAGGAAAATGTTTTAGGGTTTGGACTAATTTTCGGACAATTTTATCTAAAGTCGAGGAGGCCTATGGTCCGTTGGATGGGGGAAAATCGACGGCCCAGATCAAACGACGCCAAACGGCGTCATTTTATTTTAATGAGGGGGAGCAGGCCTGATTCTTTGGTGGACAGGGCTCAGGTATTTGGTGGACTTGGTCTTTGGGCTGAACGAAGTTAACCAAATGGCCCAAAACGGGCCTCTTAATAACAGTCTTCTTTATTTGTTTGTTTTTTTCTCTTTTTTTTTATTTGGTATTTTAGTTTTGTTTGTTCTTTGTATTTTGCTTATTATTATTTTTGATTTTCTGATTTTATTGAATGTAAAATCAAGAACTAAAACACCCAACTTTATACTTAATTAATTTCCAAAATTAGCTAATTCCTAATTTAAAAGAAGACTAAACCAAAAACAAAAAATGTAAAATGTAGAATTAAAAATGGTAAAAAGACTATTTTTGTTACTTTTTCTCTTATTTTAGTAATGTTAATTGATTAACAATATAAAATCAAATTCTAAACGCAAACACATTATTTTTGTACTTTTTTATGAATTATAGCAACTAAAAATGCACACAAGAATGCAAACCAGACGTAAAATTATGCAATTAATTCCTAAAAATTCAAATAATAAAAGAAAAATTATAATTCTAATAAATTTATAGGAGTAAATTAAGCGTGGCAAAAATCACGTGCTCACAGCCGACACCAATTCTACTAGGCTGATACTAAAATTATTATCGGATAACCTGGGATACACTGAATCTGGGGACCCCGACACCTCTTTCTCCTGCAACGATCTGCTACTCTGGCCACAATATGTCCTTCTATCGGAAGTGAACCTATCCAAGGATTGGACTCATTTATTACCACGCCCATCGACCCTCTCGTAAGGCTAAAAACGACTTCTAGAGGGTCTCCGATCTGTATCAAAATCATTATCCAACTTATCTTGATCCCGATGCAATTTCGTCCTTTGGAAGACACTGAGGAACCAATTTGATCATCTTTTAATCTTATTTTCGACTCGTAGCAATTGTGAACATCTGCCCAGGTGGTTTCCTGAAATTCGAGAAAGTTCTCCTTCAATTTTTGGGAGACATCGGAGCTCAACGGGTTGACCCTTTGTAAATGCTTCCCCTTCCCACTTATTTGGTATTGGTGGTAACATTATCCTTTCTTTTTGGAACCGGATAACGAACTCCCGCAACAGTTCAGATTCTCCTTGAGATATTCTGAATATAACTGCCTTGCTTGCCTAGACCTTTCTCGCTTTAGCATAAGCTTTGATAAACAAGTCTGCAAGCATTTCAAAAGCATCAATAGAATGCTCAGGTAAGAGGAAATACCAAGTTAAGGCACCCTTCGTAAGGGTTTCGCCAAACTTCTTCAACAAAATCGATTCGATCTCATGCTGGGCCAAGTCGTTCCCTTTACTGTCATAGTGTAGATCGTGATGTGCTTATGTCGATCCGAAGTCCAATCATACTTTGGTATATCTAGCATCTTAAACCTCTTTGGGATCAACTCCGGTGCTGCACTTGGTTTAAACGGAAACTGCGTATGCTTCTTTGAATCTGGACCCTTTAACACCAGTGATGCTCCCGGGATCTGAACCATTTGAGCATGAATTTCCTGTGAATTCTGATCCATTCGTTCATTCATTTCTCTCATAAATCTCATGAGCTCGGTTTTGAAAGGGTCATTTAAGTTGTTGTTCCCGTATCCACTACAGGCACCTCCAGCCTCGTCAACACCGACCTCCTCCCTTGGAGTGTCGTTATCAGTTCTTTGAGCCGTTTGATTTGTGAGAACACTGGGAGGAACCAGAGCCCTTCCGTTAGCTATTATTGGAAGCACTCGATGACGTCTGCTCCAATTCCGTCATCACCCAGTCTTGCCTTGAAAGGTGATTCATAATCGCTTTTTGTTGTTCTCTCAAGATTTTAAATGTTTCAACAATGTGCTCATCCTCTTCTTCATCAGGAGTTGGGCCCTGCACATGCTGAGGATGCTGACCTTCACGAACTGGGGTTGGTTCATCCCCTTCATTGTGGGTTTCGCTAGTTGAATCGTCACGCTGGAACACATCTTCCCATTCATTGTGTGCTCCAACATCGTAAATATTATTGACATCATTAGCTGCCATACCTGATCTTTCTTTTGCTAAGGAAGGAATCAAAGTTTGTTAGCAACAGATGAAAGTATCAAAATAGTTACACTATTGTCTATGTCCACAGTGGGCGCCAAACTGTTTACCTGTAAAATAATACAATTAAATTTATAATGTGGTTTATAGACAAGAATCGATTTGACCCAAAATAGTAAATAAGTAAGAAGATATATAAGATTATGAAATAAAATTAAAGAAACTACGAACCTGGCTATGAACTTAGCCTTTCAGGTGGAAAAAGTAAGAACAATATCCAAGAACAAAGACTGAGAACAATGTTATATAATGAGAGCAGAGTATAGCTTTATTGTGTACAGAATATTTCGTGTCCAACAAATGATGTTGATTCTCCTATTTATAGCTTTATTTAGGGAGACAAGATCTTCAAATCAAGCTCCTCTCGAATGAGAATAAAATCGTCATCGATGGTTGCATAACAATTGGCTATAAATACTGGTATTCTTTGTAATGGCTACTCATTTAATGCTATCCAATATCAAATCTTTGAATCTTTATTGTCGGCTACTCTGCCTTCGGGATTCATCCAACACCGGTCATATATTTGCATCCGGCCTCAGTTATTTGCTAACTCACATCCCACCTGTCTTCAGTTCCATGTATCACTTCGTCGTTCGTCCAACTGTCACTGACCAATTTTACCCCATATAAACCTATCTCCAGTTACACATGTCACCTCGTAATTTATCCACTTGTCGCTAAATTAATATTACCCTATACAAATATAATGAAAAGTATTGTTGTCACCGCGGATTACCTCTTGCTAAATTCTAACCACTTTGTACTCAAATGTAACAAGGACGAAACCGAAGCTATAGGTGACTGAATTCGGGGTACCCTCTTACCCTTGGGCCTCTGGAACAGGGGCGGATCCAGAGAATAAAAACCGGGTTCACCGGAACCCATAATTTTTGTTTATACCTTATATAGGTACGTACTAAGAACTTCATCAAATATCTATAAATATCATATTGTGAATCCATAAACTATTGTAGATTAAGTTGAGATTGTTGTAGGCAGGGGCGGATTTAGGGGGACGGAAGGGGGTTCACCCGAACCCCCTTCACTGAAAGATTACACTGTATATATAAGGCAAAATCTATTTTTTACCTCTATATATTAAGTTTTGAACCCCCTTAATACAATTTAAAAGTGTAATTTAGTGGTTAAGGGGGTTCAAAACGTAAGGTCCCCACTCTGATTATGGCAAATTTCATTCTCTACGACTCTCAAGAACTTTGAGGTGTGGGAACGAGAAGTTGTCCTGAGTGGATTTCGTTGACGATAATGCTGGGCGGAGGTGATGACTGTAATAGTTTGGTAAAGCTGGAGTCTAAGGTTAACTCTAGCAAGGATTTGCAAACGGTTTTGACATACAAGAGTGTGGGGGGAGGTAATCTAGACAGAATTTCCACCAAGATTCCGAATGGAAGATCCAACAGAGTTGTTGCTTGTTCACTCATTTTTTTCCCACCTCTTTGGATAATGGATTTCAGAATGCATCTCTTAGCTGTTTGCTTCCAACAGCCTTCATCGCAGCAAGAGGCATGATATATTAAATATTACAACTGTGCTTGCTCAATACTCACATATCCAGAAGATAAAAGTAGCAGAGATGGGGATGTTGAGGTGGATATGCGCGCACACTAGGATGGATAAGATTAAGAATGATGATATTCGGGAGAAGGTGGACGTGGCTCCCATTGATAACAAGATGCGGAAAAGCGAGGCTCATATGGTTCGGGCACGTTCAAAGGAGAAACCCAGATGCTCCAGTAAGGAGGTGTGAGGGGCTGACTTTGGAGGGCTTAAGAAGAGGTAGACGGCGGCCTAAGAAGTATGGGGAGAGGTGATGAGGCAGGACATGACGAGACTTCAGATTTCCGAGGACATGGCCCTTGATAGGAAGTTATGGAGGTCGAGTATTAGGGTTATAGGTTAGGAGGTGGTTGAGTCATTCCTTAGTTCGTACCTTTGTGAGGCTAGTTTGGTAGGATTTTTGTCTGAGACAGCTAGTGGCAATGTTGTGTTTTACTACTCTTTTGTTTTTCATAGAGCCGAGTTTTTTACTGGCTAGCGCTTTTGCTTTGCACTTTTTTCTGACTTTCATGATGTTGTTATTTTTTGTTATGGTATCTGTTGGTGGTACTGATATTGTCTCTTTTCTTTTCGTCTTCTTGAGACGAGGTCTTTCGGAAACAGCCTTTCTACTCTTCGGGATAGGGATAAAGTCTGCGTACACAGTACCCTCCCCAAACCTCACTAGTGAAATTTACTGGGTCGTTATTGCTGTTGTGCTTGCTGAATGATTCCACATTTTTGGAGCGAAAATTATGCATAAGTTTTAAATAGTATCAAATATTAAAGGTGCATCAGCCGCATCTCTAACTCAAGGATATCATATATCACCCGGTAAGATAGGCAATTACGCTCACGCATTCCATCTTGTTCTTTTAACTTTTATTAACGTAAATAGTTTTAAAGGCTTTCTAATCATTAAAACGAACAAAATGTTGTCCGCACTCTTTTACCGACACACCGACTTATTGTTAGTTTCTATCACCTTACCCAAACACATTCTCAGTCCTTATTAATTAATTTTAATTAGTTAAAACCAAACGGGTTCTTACATTATAAATAATTTCACATGCATACGAGGAAAAATAAATACTACTCTCTCCGTTCCAATTTATGTGAACTTGTTTGACTGGGCACAAAGTTTAAGAAAAAATGAAGACTTTTGGAATTTATGGTCCTAAACAAGTTAAAAAGGGGCCCAGAGTATTTGTGTGGTTATAAAAGCTTCTCATTAAGGGTAGAGTTGTAAGTTTATACTAAATTGTTTCCAAAATTTAGAAATGGTTCATTCTTTTTGGAACGGACCAAAAAGGAAATAGGTTCACATAAACTGGAACGGAGAGAGTAATTAGAACTCAATATCTCTATTCTCTAGCACTATTCTTGCGTCTGTTTTTGCCGCGTTGGCGAGCATCGGTGCTTTAGCTCTAACTCTAGACCTTTGGTCATGGAAGTGAGTTCATATTTTAGTAGTACAATTTTGACCGACACATAGATGAGACCTAATGTAGAATAGAATATTCCTCAATTAGTGTTGAAAAATTCAGCTAATCAACAGTTTTATAAAAGTAGACATAGCTCTTACGTAATTGACATTTGACAAAAAAGTAACGTATGGAAACAATACCCCCTCCCTCCCCCCCTCCCCCTCCACACTAAGCAAAATATACACTTCTCCTATAGAAAGTGAAATGGCTAAGAGATGCCAGAAGTCCAATATCGAAAGCGGTGAAAAAAAATGAGCGATGAAGCAACATCTCTGGTAGATCTTCCATCTCCAATTTTGGTGGAAATTTTCTCTAGATTACCTCCCACTACAGTCTTATGTGTCAAAAGCGTTAGCAAATTTTTTCTAAATTTAACCTTTGAGTCCGAATTTTCGAAACTAGTACACTCAAGATCTCCAGCCAGCATCATCATCAACCAATCCCACTCTACTAGGACGAGATCTCGGACCAACACATTAAAGTTCTTGAAATTCATAATTGACACTGATCAGGGTACTCATGAAATTTGCCATGATCCAAATTCTGACCTTGATCTACAACCTTACTTTCCCATTGGTTCATTTTCACTAGTTGGATCAGTTCATGGTTTCGTTTGTTTTAATTACTTTTCCAATGGTGCTGATGCTATTTACATCCTTAATCCAAGAACCAGAGAATATACCATGGTTCCAGAGGCTGAAGGGGTAAGAGGGTACCCGGATTTAGTTAACTATGGCTTTGGTTTCGATCCTGTTAAATTTGAGTACAAAGTTGTTAGAATTTACCAAGAGGAGATTTGTGATAAAATTAATGGTTCTCGTTATTACAAGTCTGAATGTCAAGTCTACACAATTGGCAAAGGATATTGGAGAAGTGCAGGACATGTTATGTTCTGTTTTGGGTGCAGGGCATATGGTGTGAACCTCTACGGAAAGATTCATTGGTTGGTTTATGATGTTAATAGAAATGATTTAATATGTTCTTTAGATTTGGGAAATGAGTTGTTTATATCATTCCCTTCAGCTCCGGGTCATAGTGAAGAAAATCATCCGAATTTGCGGAGTTTGGGAGTTTTTGGACGGTGTCTGTGTGTGTGTGACAATAATGCGGATGACTATATTGAGGTATGGGTAATGAAAGAATATGGAGTAACTAGTTCATGGGTTAAAGAGATTGTCATAAACATAATTCCTGAATGCAATGATTGGGTTTGCAATGAAATGATTTATCTGCTGAAAGTTTTGGATGATGGAGTGGTGTTGTTCTTGTGGCGTGAAGATTTCTTGTTCTTGCACCATCCTGTGAAGAAAACATTGAAAATGTTTGATGTATTTGAAGGTTACTTCTTGGCATCTAGCCATGTATCAAGCTCCTTCTCGCTCAAGACTTTTGAAGCGGAGGTTGTGAATGTGTTTTAGATTTTTCAAAGTAACATCAATATATGTAGTCTAGAGCATATTGTTAACATTTTGTTTTGGTACTTATTAATTCTCTGTTTTTTATTAAAGAATTTTGGTTAGTAAGTTTGCGTTGTACACCACCATATATTCCAAATATAGCAATAGTTATGGTAAGAGCTCGTATTCCTCTTTGTGTACAATGCACTACTCTCATATAGTGCTTATTTTGATATCTCGGAGACTCCGCTTCCCCATCCATCCACCCGACTGGTTTCCAGGTTGAGTCGGGTGCTCAAACACTATCGCTATCTCTCCCTTGTGAGGCTTGACCACATTCGTCTTCATTCGGAACCAGCAATTATTCATCATTCCCTGATTATTGCACAAAATTAATATCCAACAAATTGCATGGCACGCAATTTCACTTCTTCAGTGAAGGTTTTTGATTTAAGAAAAAACATTGTATAGGGTCAAATTTGACCCTCAGTATCTCTACGCCAGTGGGTACGCCCAATGAGTGTACACCGACCAACGTAGCGGGTACGACTCGGCCGTGAGGACAAAAGCGACATCGTTTAGAACTCAGCATCCACGATAGGGAGACGTTACCTATTTTTGTAACTTTTTGATTCTTTCGAGGAAGGTCTCCTATTATATAAAGGAGACCTCCACATTGTAAAAAGGGATCGGATCTAATACAACTCTCTCATTTTTCTGGCTTTCTCTCTCTATATCTCTACCTCTAACGAAAATATCTTATTGGTAAACATTATCACTTTGCAATATCAGATCTACAACAATATTATCATCTTTGCATCTCTAGCTTATTATATTTGATTACGATTTACCACTTTTCTATTTTTGATTGTTTTATCGCTTACAAAGTATATCGTTAACTTTTGAGCCAAACAAACATCTTATTCTCACTGGGGAATATAATTAGACCTTGGATTCAATAAGGAAGAACAATTATACTATTAGACAATGGATTAAATTATATACATACACTAACAAATTAAAGTACACTATTTGTATATTGCAACTAGATATGGTAAGTAATTATTTGCTTTATTTCCTAAATTACCAAATCAAGCTTTTTTGCTTATTGTTGTAGAATACTTTAACTTAATAGTGTAATATTTTTACGTCATCAGCGTACATTGGAACTCATTAAAATATGTTGCGAGTTGATATAGTTAAAAGGTTAAAAGAGATGGTGAATTTTACCATGACGTTCCAAATAAGCTTCTCAGGTTGAGTATTGAGGGTCTCATCCCAAGCTCGAACAGCAATTTCTTTAGCACCGAGCAAGTCAAGCACCTCAACTTCCAGTGACCAAAAACACCAGCACCAGTACTTGCCATACTTTGTGGGCTTTTCTGGGTGGAATACTCTGCGGAAGTGCCACGTGTCTCCACCATCCATCGTCACTTCCACACGTGTTACCTTTTTCCCTCCACCTGTACGTTGTATTAAAGATAGAGGAGAAAATTCAAAAGCAAATCCCTTTGGGTTTTCATAGAAAAAGAAAAATAAGAAAATAGAGTCAAACGTACACTAAGCAGAATAAGCGTAGCCCTTCAACGTGTAAGGCTGTCTAGCCGTCCACGAGTTAATAGGCAAGATATCTTCATGACACGGCGTTGTAACAGCTAACCTATTCGGGAAAAGGGAAATGAAAAAACCGTCGCGCTACCCTGTAACTGTAAAAACGAGTTAGCATTTCCCAATGTATGTCCCGTTGTCCTTATTCCTTAACCTTCCAAGGTAGTAACTAATTAAGGTAATCACTCACAAATAGTGAGACAAGTGATTTGGTAGCATGTTAAAAGATATTACTAGTAGTGTATATATCCTTGCAGTAGACAACATAGTGTATTGTAACACGTAGCTGGTCTTATTTTCACCTTTGGTGTTAGCTATACATATCTTTTGGATAAATTAAATTCATAAATATATTAAACGGACAAATTAGTCATCTTAATTCAGAATTACGTACCATCAGCATTAGCAAGTTCAGCATTAACATGAGAAGGAAGAACCCTATTATCCTTGTAATGATAATAGCTCTCTGACTCTTGGGTAGTGACTACAATTCTTTTCAACCACTTCACCATTCTTCCACCAATGAATCCTGGAATAATCATCCGCACTGGAAATCCGTGGTCTGGCGTCAACTTTTCTCCATTCTGCATGTAAGCTACGATGATATCTCTTGACGGATCCATAGCGAATTCCTTCTTAATGCTGGTTCCATAATTCGAACCACCACCTCCGGGCAATACATCCGCACCTTCGAAACAAACGTTAAGTAAATACCACACCGTTTCAGCAAGGCGCGGAGGGGTAGTCCGCGCCATACAGTTGTTGAAACGGCAGCGGCACCACAGTTGGAACCAATGGTTTGTTTAACCATGTTCTGTTCTTTCCTTCGATTGCCAGCACACACAAGCGTAACCGGCAATTCTCTACAAGGGAATTCGTTAACCAACTGGTCCATTGTGAATTTCATAGGACGCTTCACTAGACCCGTGACTTCCACGGTCCAGTCATCCCACGTGCCCTTGGGAACCGGTCCGTGGTTACGAACGTAATGAAGTGGGACCGGAGTGATAAAACCGTGGTGCATGAGCCGGTTCAAGGGTGGTTCGGAGTTAAATGGATGTTTTCCAGTAAGACGAATCAAGGAAGCGTTCCGTTCGACCCAATTATCAGCGGTACCTTCGTCCCTAGTGTCGTGAACAGATGGCTCTAACTCTGAATTTCCTTTTTTGATCATTTGAAGGTACTCGTTTTTTTGGTGGTCATCTTCATCATCGTCCTCGTCGGATGATGAGTATTTGTCAAGAAAAATGATGGGGTTTGAAGTATTATTCTTAGGGAAAGAGAGGGTAGGAATAGGACGGAAGGTGTAGGTGCTAGTTTGAACCACGGGTGGTATGCCCCGTTCAAGGCGACTATTAATAAGCTTCTGGTTTCTGATAGATCCTGGCATGGCTTTGGTATCTCTCTAAATTCTCTCACTTTCTCTCTAGCTAGCTAGTTTACTACTACTTCCTTCCTTCCGTTCTGATGGCCGGCCTTATATAACAAGATATTTAAACGACTTTCTCAACGCCCTTGGTATACAGTTCTATACTGTACAAATTCTGGGGCCACGCCAAAATGGCATCTCAATTCTGTTTATTACGCGCAACCAAATGGTAAAGTCAGGTCCCCTTGGCCGTGGGGAGGGGGTGAGAAAGGGTACAATGGTTGTGATTTTTGTTTAGGGGCTGAGTATATATAGCAAAGAGGTTACGGTGCAGCTGTTCTTCGGGCTAACAGCCGCTTCTTGTTAGGTTCTGTCATCTGTGACATAGTATGCAATCATGATTTGAAATATATCTTTTCACAATAATAGATCATTTAACAAATTATAAGAAAGTATTTAACTAAATATAAATTGGTAAAATACCTTTGGGGTAAAAAAGAGATACCAAACCCATGCCAGGATTTATCAGAAGAGCTAAAATACATTTTGGAGTAAATAATTCTATGCACATTAGTATACGTAGCTAAATCCTCCATGTAGTGGCCGCATTATATAAGGGTTGATCTCTCTTTTTTTTTTTTTCTGGGTAATTGTGCAACCGCCCTAAAGTTTGATTTTCGTAGCATATGTTTTTGAGTGTTAAGCAAAGACCAGGCGAGTTTTAGCCATGTTGAGACTTGAGTCCAAACAAATCGACAAAGTAACGAGTCGAGCTGAGCCAAATCCAAACAATATTGTATTCAATTGATCTTCCACACCGTAAAGAGTCGTGCCAAATTTGAATTGAGGGGTGGACGGCTGGGCGAGGGTCCAAGGGCTTTTTTTGTCCTAGGGCCATATCAAATTACGTCTGCGGATATGCAGCCATTTAATTTCTTGTTTCCCTGTGTTTTGCCTTGAATATATACTAAAGATGTCAGAAATCACTGCTAAAATCCGCGTTAGACCGTCCGAAAAAAACAGTTCGAAAAAATCGTCCAAGACGTGACCATTTACGTGTGATCGATATTTTAAAAGTCGGTAGGGTATACCGACCAAAGCCGGCTGAAAATTATCGACCAACTTTGGTCGGTATGCTTTACACGACCATCTGACAATTTAATTGACTTACCAACCAATATTGGTCGGAATATTAGTAATAATTTAATTTTATCGAGTATTAGGGTTGTAGGTTAGGAGTTAGTTGAGTCTTGCCTCACTTTGTACCTTTGTGAGCCTAGTCTGGTAGGGTTTTTGTCTAAGATAGCTAGTGGCAATGTTGTGTCTTACTATTTCGCTTTTCAGTGCAGGACCTATTTACTAGCCATCGCTTTTGTCTTGCATTTTTCTTCTGGATTTCATGTTGTTCCTATTTTCCCTATAATTTCTGTGGTGAAACTAATATTGTCTCCTTTTGTCTTTTTATTTTCTTGAGCCGAGTGTCTTTCGGAAACAACATCTCTATTCCTTCGGGTAGGGATAAGGTCAGCGTACACATTACCCAAACCCCATTAGTGGGATTTTACTGGGTTGTTGTTGTTGTTGTTGCAATTTTACCGACCAGCATTATTCGATATACTAAAGTTAATAATTTTGGTTACCGACCCACTTTGGTCGTTAATGAAAAATAAATTAATCATATAATATTTTATATACCTATCAACATTGGTCAGTATTAGAAAATATTTTTTTTATCAATAACTAAAATATGTTACCGCCCAAGGTTGGTCGGTTTTCTGGGAATAATTTTGGTAGAAAATGCCTGTTTTGGTAGTTACAGCACCTGCCAAATAAAAACGGCATACCAATACGCCCAATCCACATCAAATAACCCCCAATTCACCACAAACAACCCCTAATTCACCACAATTCAGCCAAACATCCATTTAACACTTTAAAACTAACAAGTTCAATTAAACATCACAATTCAAAACCAATCAAAAACTAAGTAATTACAACAAGTTAAAAAATGTTCATCCTAATTTAGAACAAGTTCTATTAGTCT